CTTGGATTATAATCAGTTTGAATGATACTGATTATAACGTGTGCTTAATAACTACTTGCAAATCAACAACTAATACAATTACGTATTTTATTAGTAGCGCAATCGATATATGTAGATTACCGATATGAATATAATCACAAAGATCTTCACAGAGAATTATATCAAAATTATAATATATATTAAATTTAAAATAATTAACATGATGATCACATTATATTTGCTTCAATTACACTGTTCGACAAAATTTAACCTGTTTCTTTGACAGAAAAAAAACAGCATTTTTGTATTTTGGGTGTGAATGATCTCATGTTGCAAAATAGTGTTAGTGGGACAGTGTTAGCGCTCATAACTGCGCGTTTGTCGATTCATCATTTATTATTAATTATAATATCTTTACTGCAGCTAATATTGTTTTTTGGACATTTATTTCTGCAGAATATCTAATTTAAATACGTAATATTTCATATTGTAAGGTATAAATATATAAATCACATATAAAGAACAATAATAATTACTTCTTGCTGCAGCTTGCGGTGATTACGTTGACCACCACTTGGATAATTCCTACTATGACGGTGATCAAGAAAGAATCTATTGTAACATTGACTCTGGTGATTATATCGACACTATAAGCTATAAGCACATACACCCCACTAAACTTCTGAAAAAGGAAGAAGAGATTCAGAATCACAAACGGTTTCCACACTTCTGGTAAAAGGATTGTTCCCCGGATGCTCTTCAGTATGCTCCACATATTCCAAATAAAACACGACATCTGTCTGGTCTCTTTAATCGAGGAGGAGTCTATTCGATAATTTTGAGATGCTTTTAAATTGATTGTCTGCTCGTTGTAATTTACCATACTGGCAAACTCTTCTTGGAATTCTACCGTCTCTTGACGCAGGCCTCGGATTTTAAGTAGAGCGATCTTAGCTTCCTCCTTTCGGCCTCTCATGAGTAACCACATAGAACTTTCGCGAATAAAAAATATATTGCAGAAAATAAGAGATGCCGATGGTATGAGAAAAAATGCTGCTATCAGCCTCCAATTATTCTAAATTAATTTAAATGGAAACATATTATACATTAATTGTTGTAATTGTCTTTAATTATATATATAAATATATATAAATAATATATACATATATATTTATATTTATTTATTTATAATATATGTATATAAATATAATTTTGCATATTTAAAATTTGATTCTAGCACATACAAAAAAATATAAATTTAAATGTAATCAAAAATTTTCCTTTTTTTTACCATAGGTCTTTCTACTTTTTTACTGTTAAAAATGATTGAAAGGAACATATTTCTTTTACCTTTACAACAAATCCTAGAAAATAAACGATTAGGACCCCGATGGAAACCGCTATATTTGGGGTAATCGTAAGAACTTCTCTCCATGCGGGTATAGAAATTTCTTCTAAATAAATTTCAATAGCAGGAGAGCAAAAACCAATGGAACTTCCTGAAAAATTTTAATGCGTTCTTTATTAACAAATTGCTTTCATTCGTTCATCATTAAAAAAACTGCTAATTAGTAGAACAATGTCTGTTTTCCTTTCTACATAAATGAAAATTTATAAAATTGATATAATGCGCTCGGATGCGCAACAAATCTGAATTCGAAATTTCTCACCTGTTAGCACTCTACCGATAAAGAGCTGTGGCACATTATAACTACTCGCAATCAAGATCCATCCCAAAGAAAAGTTTATACTACATATTATCATGGTAAATCGTCTTCCATAGTTGAGCGTAATGAGGCATAACATGCAACCAATGGCTGCAGTTATAGGTACCGTAGAAGCTACACAAAAATATTTCCAATATTACGTACAAATAAGTGCATTTTAAAACAATATGTCTTAATATTTTGTAAAAGTATTTTATCAATTTTTTGAATTATGTACATCATCACTTTACCTTATTTAATATAGTAATATAAAGCATGATTAGAGATAATTGATTAATGTTATGAGCAATTATATTGCGAAAGTCATAAATATTGAATGTTGACAAAAATTAAATGATGACAGTTTTTATTATTATTAATAATAATATAAAAGACATGTTTTGTAGTGACATAATAACAGTTACCAAAAGATAGTTACCGAAAAATGGCATTTCCATTGCGTTTAAAGTTATCGAGGATGTATTACTTGTTAATATCGGAAGTACTACGGAGGAGTATCCCTGAGTAGCTCCTTCATTAATTAAAGCAAGGTTGCAAACAATGGTATAAAGAAACTGCAATAGATTATATACACAGAAATTAGCAATTAAATTTAATGTTATTACATCTCTTATTTTTATTGTATTAAAATCAATAATATTTTATTCCTTAGTTAAGATTTTGTATAAGTTTAAACTCACTGCATTTTAAAAATTCTTATATAGATTTGATTTATAAAAAATGATCATATATAAATGTACATTTTTTATTAAAAATATTGAAATAGTTAATTTGATTACATACCAAACGAAGCACTTCTTTTCGAACATACAATCGTTTACACATATTTGTATTAATCAAATTATCGCTATCTCCCAAAAATGTGTCTGGAAAATATGAAAAACTTCTAGTATTAATCTTAGCATCGAAGATACTATATACAGTGTCCGCCAAAAGTTCAGGGCCACCCAAATAATTTCTGAATGGTTTAAGATATTGGATTGAAATTTATAGAGTAAAAAAATGTAATCTATCATATAACCTTGAAAACACCCACTTCAACCTTCCGAAGGGATCGAGGGAGAAGGGGAGTTAAAAATCTTAAATGGCATATCGAGTGAGCGCTCGTTTGAAAACGCTTTTCGAAACGAAAAAAGCGCGAAGTCTCTTCGATTTTTTTCGCAGAGTTATGCTTATTTGAACATTGGTGTGGCTCTATCGAGGCCCCACGGCGAGGACGCGAGGAAGATAAGACTTTGCAATTTTTCCTAAGTGGATGGAAATATTTATAGAATGGCGTGTGTGTGTGTGTGTGTGTGTGTGTGTGTGTGTGTGTGTGTGTGTGAGGAACATGCGCAAAGCCTTATCTTCCTCACGTCCTTGCCGTGGGCCTCGCTAGAGCCAAAAAACACCAATTATCAAATAAGCATAACTCTGCGAAAAGAATCGTAAAGACCTCGTGTTTTTCTCGTCTCAAAAAGCCCTTTCAAACAAGTCCTCACTCGATTCCACATGCCGTTTAAGATTTTTAATTCCCCTAGCTCCCCCCTCGTACCCCTCGGAAGGTTGAAGTGGGTGTTTTCAAGGTTATATAATAGATTACATTTTGTAACTCTATAAATTCCAATATCTTGAACCACTCAGAAATTATTTAGGTGGCCCCGAACTTTTGGCGAACGCTGTATATTATCATTATTATATGTGAGATTCAAACATAATCTAATAAATAATTAAACAATTCGTGGATGATAACTTATTTTGAATGATATATTGTTCGATGTTGCATTTATGTCAAATTCAAAACCATCACTAACATACTTAATTAAATTTTTCTAAAATATTGACTCAATTATTTACGATATTATAATAATGTCTATTTAATATATGATAAATTTATAGATATATTAACTGTCTTATTATAGGCAACTTTTGATTTATTATCTTTAAAGCAAACCGGATATATGTATATCTGAACGTGCATGTAAATATTACATTTATTATTATTAATCTCAAATGTTTTTTATGTTATAATATTATAACTTAATTGTATATTTTAATAATTGTACAATTTTGATATTATAATATTCTATAATTAATGTTTCCTCTTAACTTTCTTTCTTTTATTAATCTTAAATATGTTTTATGTTATAATATTATAACTTAATTGTATTTTTTAATAATTTTACAATTAAGTTTTGATATTATAATATTTTATAATATTTCCTTTTTCTCCTTTCTAAAAAAAAGGCATGTCGATACTTGCACGTCGATACTTGCATATCTCGAAATATTGTTACCGCTTTTCCGCGATGCTGATTAATTCTCT